CCAACCTAATATCCTCCTTTGAAAGGATAACAAGCTTTGTACATAGAGAGAAAGCAGTAGATAGTGGTATATGTTAATGTTAGTAAGGCTTTTGATATTGATTTACATGATCTCAGAAACAAACTAGAGAAATACAATCTAGATTAATCTATTATAAGGCAGGTGCACAACTAGTTGGAAAATATACTTCAGGGAGTATTTATCAGTGATTCACAATCAAGTTGGAAGGGCATATCCAATTGGGTCCCAGGGGGATCTGTCCTAGATCTGATTCTATCCAAATATCTTCATACATTATTTGGATAATGATATAGAAAGTATACTTATAAATGCTATGGATGATACAAAGCTGGGAGGCATTTCAAGCACTTTGGAGGATAGGAGTAGAATACGAAATGATCTGGACAAACTGGAATAATGGTCAGAAGTAAACAGGATGAAAGTCAATAAGGGCAAATGCAAAGTACTTCAGTTAGGAAGGTGTAATTAGTTGTTCAAAAACAAAATGTGAAATGACTGCCTAGAAAGGAGTACTGCAGAAAAGGATCTGTGGGTTTTGATGGATCACAAACTAAATGAGTCAGCAATGTAATAGTGTTACAGAAGAAGCATAATTCTAAGATGTATTACCATGAGAGTTGTAAGCCAGGCATGAGAAGTAATTCTTCTATTTGACACTGATTAGGCCTTTGCTGTAGTGTTGGGTCAAGTTCAGGAAACTACACTTTGAGAAAGAACAACTGAAAAAATGAAGAAGTGGGTTGTGTTCATGAAAGCTCATGATTATATATTTGTTAGTCTCTAAGGTGCTACAGGACTACTTGTTTGAGTGTTTTTTAAGTTACAGATTAACATGTAACTTAAAATTTCATAGAGAGTTGAAAAAAATGTGCTTTTTAGTCTGGAGAAGAGACAACTGAACAGGGACATAACGGTCTTTAAATATGTAAAAGGTTGTTAGACGAAGACGATAAACTGTTCCCATGGGTGGCGGGTGAAAGGCCACTTTGGGGATGCTAGCCTTCTGGCCCCACCCTCTCACATCAGAACCTTGAAAACTCCCCCCTTTACAAGAGGAGCCCTGCACCCCCACCTCAGCCACCCCAGGCTGAGCTGCCAGCCCACTGCCCCTGGAGCTTCCTCCTCAGCCAAGCCAGGGTGGCACCCTAAGCACTAGGTGAGCCAGGCTGGTCACCTGAGTACCAGGCCGATTCCCCCTTGAGAACAGGCTGAGCTGTTGACCTCCCCTGAATCTCCAACCAAGCTGAGCTGAGCTTAGCTGCCAGCACCCTGATCACCAGATTTGCCTCAGTGCTGGACTAAGCTGCTGGCCTCCCCACCTTTGAAGCCCCATCATTGGGGTGAGCCACTGCTCCTCAAACCCCAGTGCTGGGCCAAGCTGCTGGTCCCCCAAGTACTGGGCTACTCTCAGAGCCAGGCCAACCCATCAGCCCCCAGCACCAGGCAGCACCTTGTCAAACTGCCTCACCCCCCGCCAGATGTCCGCAGCCAGCTGCCTGTTGGCTTGCCCCATCCTTCCTCACTCTGCCTGCCAAGAGAACAAGGGACACAATGAGCAGCATGGGACACAGTGAGCATATTAGGTTGGTGTGACCTCCAGAATAGTAGAGAGGGTGGTATGGCAGGGCCACCATGTCCCATGCATTGAGTCGCAGGTCGGTGGAAGGGAAGGCTTAGCCTTCTTGTGCTTATTATAGCTGCTGCCCATGATTGTTTTCTTTAACTACTGAGGACAGGACAAAAAGCAATGGGCTTAAATATCAACAAGGGAAATTTAGATTAGACATCAGGAAAATCTTTCTAACTGTAAGGGTAGTTAAGCACTAAAATAAATTGCCTAAGGAAATTGTGGATTCTCTATCATTGGAAGTTTTTCAGAACAGGTTAAACAAATATTTAGTTCTGCCTCAGTGCAGGGGACTGGACTGAATGGCCTATTGAGGTCCCTTTCCCTCCTACGTTTCTATGGTTCTTTGATTCTAATTGCCATTCTTAAGTAGCAATGTGGCACACTGTTATCAGATCAACCTCCTTTCCCATTTTCTGGTGTTCCTAAACCTCTGAGTGCTAGAAGCTGGGATTGGAACTCAGTAAATTGCCCTGTTCTATTCACTTCCTCTGAAGCATCTGGCACCAGTCACTGTCAAAAGACAAGATACTGGGTTAGATGGACCATGGGTCTGACCCAGTATGGCAATTCTTACATTCTTATGTGGTAAAACCAATGGTAGGGGTAAAGGAGGAAAGGACTATTCCACGTGGATTTCTTCAGAGTTCTCTATTAATTGTTGGAAGAGGAAGGGTAGCCTTGTCTTTGGAATGACTGGCTTCTCCATCTTAATTCCAGATCTCCCCTGAAGCCCTTCACCTTTCCTGTGCATCAGTGGAGATGCATAAACAAGACTTTTTCTAGCCAGGGCTGACTGCAAGCCCCATCCCACTTTGAAAAGGGCAGTTCTCTGACACAAAAAGGATTCTTAGGAAAGACAGTGGCACCTAGGAAAAGAATAATTTTCCCCGGGTGAATTCTGTATGGTGTGTGAGTGTGATGAGGTGTTTCCCCACATTCCTTCCAGGGGCACCCCCAAAAGTTTTTCACGTTGAACATACCATTAGTTCCAGTGTAAATCCAGCTGCTGTCCCTAGCACCACACTGCACTTCTGCCTTCTAGCCCAGCTTGCCCAGATGCAATGTAAATCCCCAACTCTGAGACTGGCAACAGGGTTTTGGAAGCAGGGCAAGGCCAGGCAGGTCCCAGTGGGGAGCTCAGATGCAGGAACCAGCTTCTCAGCAGCAGCTAAGATGATCAAAACTGGCCACTCCATTGTGCACTCGGGTTTGACCCCACCACCAGTCCTCTATCAAGAAGGAGAGGGGGATAATGGCAGTGCAATGTGGTGTAGAGGACTCACAGTGCCACTCTGGTTTGGCCCCATGTCCCCTCTGTCATGACACAAGGCTAAACTTCAGTAGTGCTGCAACGTTCATGCACCTGGTCACATTACCATTCACTCTGTGTAGTCCCTCTAACACTCCCTCTTCTGCTGTTATGACCAAACCTGGGCCAAACTGAAATGGGCAGTGAGATGACCAATGCGGTTCCTCCTTGGTGCAGCCAGTAGTACGCACTGGGTGTAATGTGCATATTGGTGTAGGTGCTACTGAGCCCAGCAGGGCAGGTAGACACGTGTATCTGTAGGATTGCTTCTTTTTAGGTGATAGTATTAAGCAAACCTTGAGGATTTCAATGTAAAATATATTAATAGCAGTACTGGCAATATATGTATCTAGCTTGACAGAGTCATATAGTAATATAATAAAATGCTTTAATAAATACTTAGTGAATGAGGTTTTGGGGTTATCAACATAACACAGGTTGGACCTCCCTGGTCCGTCACTCTGGGGACCTGACCAGTTCTGAATCGGGGAATTGGCTGGACCAGGAAAGGTTCCCTGCCACAGCCCCTCAGCCCTCAACCCTCAGCACTGCTGGCTCTGGGGACCCCCTTACTGCTCCCAACCCTGGCTGGCCCTGCTGCTGCTGCCCTAGCTGGAGACTGCTTGCAGGCTCCTGCAGCCCACACTCCAGCTCCGGCCCTGCGCTCCTGCAGGTCTGACTCCAGCCCCACTGCCATGGCCTGCTGCAAGCTCCAAGCCTGGTCCCGCTGCCGGGGGTTGCTGAGGGCTCAAACTCCTGTCCTGTGGCAGCTCCCAGGCTCTGCCCCCACTACTGCGGGCTGCCCAGAGCTCTGGCTCTGGCCCTGCACTACCCCAGCTGTTGACTGCCCAGTCCTGCACTGCGGGTGCTGCCCCGGACCCGATCTCAGTACCCCAGGCTGCCCGGAGCTGCTGCTGGCTCCAGCTCCTCTGTTGCAGGCTGCTCAGGGTTGCCACCAGCCCCAACTCCTGCTCCATCCTGTCACTTCATCCCAGTCCTGCTTTTGGCTAGCCTTCCTGCCCTAAGCTACTGTGCTCTTTGACCCAAGAACATCCAAGATCGTGCCAGACCACAGATGTTGCCAGACCAGAGAGTGTCAGTTTTAGTGCAAGTGTACTAGACAGATGAACTCTGTAGCTAAAAGATGCGTGAAAAATTGTTTTATCACTGTATAAAATCTACAGTATTCTTCACTGTTATTTCCTATACATTTAACTGACTTTCTGTATTTCCTGTCAGCAATCCTGTACCTAATTTATACCCATTTCTACAGCATTTCAGTGTGTAACCATATCATATGCACATTCAACGACTTTATCAGCACACAGAATCATGGTATTGTCTGTACAAATTAAACAACTAATTGTGCATAGTCATACTGATAGGCCACTACAAGATGCACTTCTCAAACAGTCAGTCTCTGGTCCGGCAAAATCTATGGGAGCGGGACCAAAGCTTGCAGACTGCTGCAGGGCAGGAGTTCGACCCATCAGCAGCCGCGGCAGCAGGACCAGCAGTCTGTGGCAGCGCGGGGTCAGGGCCAGAGCCTTGGGCAGCCTGAGGTAGCATAGGGCCAAAGCCCATGGGCTGCCTTGAATTCCAAGCTTGAGCCCTCGATAAACCTCCGGGAACTTGTGGCAGTGGGATCAGGGCCGGAGCCAGTTGCAGCCCCTGGCAGCCCGTGGGGCCAGGGTTGAACTCGTAGCAGCACAGCACAGCACTGGAGCTCGCAACCAGCCTCCAGCCGGCCAGGGCTAGGAATGAGAGGGGTCCCAGAGCTGGCAGCGCTGAGGGGCTGTGGCAGGGAACCTTTCCTGGTCCGGCAAATTCTCTGATTCAGGACCAGTCAGGTCCTGAGGGTGTCAGATAAGGCAGGTCCAACCTGTATTGAGAAGAATTGTACATCATGAACTTGATTTTGCATTGCTTATTTGGGCAAAATTCCTAGTCAAGTCCATTGAAATTTTGCCTGTGCTAAAAGTGCATCAGACGTAATACATAAAAGGAAATAGTTAATTTGTCCTGTCACTTGTTTTGCAGTGCATTTAAAGAGAAACCATGGCTTCAACAACTGGGAATTGCCAGAACCCTAGCTAAGAAGAGTGTTCTCAAACCTGTGTACTGATAAAGGCCTAGTGTGTCAAGGAACTGTAATTTGGGAAGAGAGGCTATGTTTGATGCTTCTAACAATATCAATGCTGTCCTATTCGACAAGCATCCTAAATTCTATTTATTCCATTAACATAATACACAGATATGGTTAATGGAGGTATATTTAATAAGTAACACATTACACAAAGAAAATGTATAAATCATTAGTGGATGCTATGGGCTTTGTTACAGATATTTGGTCACTGTAGCTCTAAAGAAGATAAGATTAGATCATTTGACAAAAATAATTCTGAAAAAACTTAACGTAACATGTTTAAAGGAAAAAAAAAAATTATTAGATTAGTGTGAACCAAAGGTTTTCAACATTGTGTAGCACCACTGTGAGAAAGAAAAATTCATTTCCTAGTGCTAAGTTTTAGTGCCATTGAACCTGTAGTGTGTGCTAGCAGACTTCATTGTTCAGCACTCCCCAGGAGTTTAAAGATCTTCCATTTATCTTTAAAATAATTTCAAACTAATTTTAATTAAAAAAACTTGTTTCTGCTGCTCCTGCCATCTGGAACAGTGTGCTATGCTGTGTTTCTTTACCACTACAGGCAGTCCCCGGGTTATGTACAAGATAGGGACTGTAGGTTTGTTCTTAAGTTGAATCTGTATGTAAGTCAGAACTGGCGTCAGCCGCTGCTGAAACTGATCAGTTTCAACCGTGGCTGAATCTGGATGCCA